AAAACTGCTGGCAAAGTCAACTTCTGCGGGAATCGTGCCGCAGGAGGAATGCAGGACAAGACCGTGGCCTCTGCAATCTACCTGAGTTGAGAGGCGAGCCCCTGGGTTAGGAAATACACGTTACCTTTCAAACCAAAGACACCAGTGGACCAATGGAAGCACTGTTCCTTCCTTTCATCTTTTTGGAAAACACTTGTTTTTCTTCTCACTATGGAACCCAAACTGACCTTAAACGCCTGGTCCTCCTGCCCTAGCTTTCCAAGTGTTGTCCCAACACTTTTTATTGATTTCATAGAATGACCCCAGAACACGGTTCTGTTTCACTCAGCTGATAGTCAGGGGCTTCTGTGAAGCACATTGTCCCCCATCATTCTTCCTGCAGGAGTTTTAAATTGAGTGACCAGCTTTTTGGTGTGTGTGTGTGTGTGTGCACGCGCGTGCGTACACAGATTTTGCTGTGCACCACCTGGTTAGATGGTAATGATGATAACACTGTCAGTGCATTTAATCATTTTTAACTTAATTTTTTGTGTGGGGATGTTCTGCCTGCAAGTTTGTCTATGCACCACATGTGTGTCTGGTGCCCAGGAAAGTCAGAAGAGGGTGTCCGGTCCCTTGGAACTAGAATTTCTAACAGTTGTGAGCCACTATGTAGGTTCTGGAATTGAACTCAGGTCTTCTGGAAGAGCTGCTAGTGCTTTCAACTGCTGAGTGATCTGTCCACTCCATAATTCATATATTGTTTTTTTTTCTAGTATGATATAGAACAATGTGTGCCATACCAATTACATGGATATGTATTCATGGGCAGGGCGAATTAATGATCCTGTAACATCAACTATTGAACATCAGTGGTCTGTATGCTCAGCCACTTGAATACCTCTCTCTCTCTCTCTCTCTCTCTCTCTCTCTCTCTCTCTCTCTCTCTCTCTCTCTCTCTCTCTCTCTCTCTCTCTCTCTCTCTCTCCCTCTCTGAACTCACAGAGATCCGCCTACCTCTGCCTCCCCAGTGCTGGGATTAAAGGCGAGCGCCGCCACCACCACCACCACCACTACCACCACCGCTGCCTGGCTTCCCTTTCTCTATTAAACACACTCCAATACATCACTTGTCTCCACCATTCCCAAAGAACCAGTGACCTTACTGTGATCACTGCACTCACTTGGCTGTGGGGAGCATGCCCTATTGTCCTCTTCCTCCCTTCTTTCCTTCCCTCCTTCCCTTCCTTTCTTCTTTCTTGGGTCTTGTTTCAGACAGCATTACATGTAACCCAGGCTGACCTTGAGCTCGGTATAATGCTGAGACTGATCTCAAACTCCTGAGTCTCCTGTCTGCACTGCCCATGACAGGCTTCTTTCCTCGATTCTTGCAGCCTTCTTTCCTGAACTCCCAGGACACGGGCTCCACACGGTTTGCTCCCTTCTGTCCCTGATCAGACTCCTTTGCTCATCTGTCTTTGAGATCTGCAATACCCAAGCCTCAGGCCATCCCAGGACTTGCTCTTCTGGATGTGTTTACTCTCCATCTCCACTCCACTGGAAATCACAGTCAGTCTCGTGACTTTAGATAGCAGCTGACCTTAAATGCTACTTGCCTACAGACTCCATCTCCAATACAGACCAGCCCCTGACTTCCAGGCATGTGAATGAGAGTTCCTGATCTGCAATCTCTACTTTGATGTTTAATAGACACTTGAGTGGAAGCCTTCCACTCCAGAGGGAAGCTCTTAATCTCATCCTCAATACAGTTTCTCTTCTCAGTCAGCCTTCTCCAAGCCAGAAGAGTCACTGCTGATGCAGTACTGTGACTCCTCCTCCCTCCACTTAAGAAAAAAACAGCACCCTAATGCTCACTCATTATAAGTTGTGTCCACATGCCAAGACGTACATATGGAAGAGACAACTTACTCCTTTCATCTATATGTGGTTCCAGGGCTCGAACTCAGGTCTCCAGGCTTGAATTACTAGAACCCGCTGAACTGTCTCTTCAGGCCAACTTTGCACTCTTCTAAATACTTGATGACAGCAATTCATTAAAAACCCACGATGACTCCATCATCGTTGTCATCATTACTACCATTTCATGGACTAGTGAGCTGAGGTATAAAGAGGTTAAAAAACACAGAGGTGTCCCATAAATGATTCCTGATCAGTGCATGAATGAATGATTGCATGATCTCATTTATGCAATGATTACAACCTAGGGAGTCAGTAGTTGGGATGTCCCCAGGTGAACAGGCCATGTGTACTCAAAGTCGCTGGGATGCAGAGGCAAGCTTCTATCCAAGTCCACCCATGACACGTGAGCATCTGGGGACACTGTTCCTTCTCACATCTCTCCAATTTATGGGCCTCTAGAGGAACCTCAGGGTGTCCAGGAAGTTAATTATTTTTTAATGTCCTATGCTGAGATGAAATCCAGGGTCTTGAAGATGTTAGGCAAGGACTTACACTGGGTTCCATCTAGCCCTGCCTAGGAAGTTACTGTATCTGTAGTAGCGCTGTATCTGCCCCACACTCAGCAGAATGCTTCCCTAAACAGTAGAGCCTTTTAGTAATGTTGGTCTTTAGTTGGGGAAACAAAGCCTTTCCAGTGACCTACTGCATGGGATTGACTCTGATCTGTCCTGAGGTGGTCAATGGGAGAAGCAGCTGTTTGTGGAGACCTACAGTCACGGGCATGGAGGAGGACGCTGCACGGTCCCTGCTGGCTAACACACCTGCCGTGGAATAATCCTTTGTACACTGTGAAGATGTGCCACTTGGATTGGTTCTAAAAACAAAAACTGAACAGCCAATAGCTAGGCAGTATTTCCAGGCACAGAGGATGCTGGGAAGAAGAAGGGCAGAGATACAGAGCAAGCAGCATGGGCATTACAAAGTAAAGGGAACTGAGCCACAGAAAAGAAGTAGATTAAGGGTGGGAGCCTGGGGGGGTTGGTGGGGGCAGGGGAGGAGGGGAGGGTGAGGGAGCTGGGATTGACATGTGAAGCAAGCTTGTTTCTAATTTAAATTAAAAAAATATTTAAAAAAGAAGTAGATTAAGAGAAATGGGTTAATTTACGAAAAGGGATTCCCACAGTGACTGGGTAGCCGGATTGAATTGCTGACTCCTGGGGCTTGGGGAAGGGACTCTTGTGAAAGGTCTGAGGACAGAGAGGTAGTGGGAGTCCCAGCCACCAGACACACATACTGTAGGCAGCACTTCCCCTGGTGAGGCCAGGCTCCCCCTCTAGCCCCTTCTCTCCCCTCCTACAGTCTTCCCATTGTAGTCGGTCTGGTGTCAGCTGTCACCAGGCTACTCAGTGGACAGCTGTCACTTTATAACTGTTGCACATTCCAGCCTGAACGGTAACCAGCCACTAAGAAGCTGCTGTGCTTCAAACGGCCAGAGCTTTGGACATCTTCACAGAACTAAAGCCTCTTACACACCATGCTGGCAAAGTCTGTGGGTCTGACAACTGGAAAGGCAGCCCCCCTTCCCCATTCTCCTTCTGTATTTCCTCTTCCTGGCCACCAGTCAGGCTGTCGCCTCCTGCTGACCCAGCACAGCATCAGCGCCGTTGACATCTTTTCCTGGACAGTTTCACCACTGACAGGAGTGGACCAACAAGCTTCAACACTACAATACCTCGGTGACATGTCACACCGGAGCCGCTTACATGAAACAATACCCTTTTCAGAGCTGAAAATAAATGGTCAAATGAAATTCACACGTCAGCTTTCCCAATAGCTAAGAGGTAGAAACAACTCGAATGCGGGTCAGTGAGTGGGTGGGTAAATAAAATGAGGCATGTCCATCCATCTAGTGGGGTGTCACATAAAGAGTGATGCTCTGATACATGCTACCTAGAAATCATTGTGCTGGGTGGAAAATGAAGGCTGAGCACAAAGGCACAGTGCATCCTCGATTTATGTGAAATGCCATCAGCAGGAAAAGCTAAACAGACAGAAAGTCGAGGGGTGGGGAACTGGCTGCTTACATGTGTGGCTTGCTTTTGGTGAGAATGTTCTAGAGCTTGGCAGTGGCTGCATGAGGAAGGGCTAGATGTCAGCAATGGCATGTTTTCTCTGATATACATTTTACCACACTTTTCCTAGATATCAAAAGAAAAAAATTCAGGAATGTGCGGGCATTATCCCAAATTAATATTTACCCCTCCTTCCCAAAGAGAAAACTAACCAGCTAAAATGTTAATTGTCAGAACTCTTTGAGTTGTACTTAAGATCCATAACATTTCACTACACTTTACCTCAGTTAAAAACTGGCTAATCAGTGCTTGAACTGGCAGCACCGTCCCTAAAGCCTGAACAATTTGACCAGTGTGGCACTGGGCAGAGGTGACATGAGAAGTCCCATACTCTAAGAAGGAAAGAAAACCAGCAGCTGATGGAGAGAGAACCAAGGAAGAGCTCTGTGGGAATGGGATCATTTGCCAGCAGGACCGCTGGTGGGGCCAGGTCCTCCATCAGCTGGGAGGAGCACATCACAGCCACTTAAACTGCCACAGAGTATCTGTGATAGAGATCATGGTGTGTCCCCATCACGCCGTGTAGGTGTGTTCATGTGTTCCCAGTCCCAGGAAGCCTGAGCATAGTTTCACTTAGCGGTTTTTAACCTGGGTGTAGAGACAGAGGCAGGAGGATTGCCAGTCTGAGGTCAACCTGGGTTCTGGAATGAGACACCATTTAGCCCCTCCCTTCTACCCAAGTCCTTTATTGTAGGAGGAAGTCTGATGCCGCCATTAAACATGTGACTTATTAGAGGCGCATACAGATGAGGTAATAAAAGGGCGGTTTACCACACCGCTAACCACACCCACTTTAGGCAGGACTAAAGACGTATACGGCTGGACGTAAAGACGTATACGTACATAGGCGGAACTACGTCACTAGCCAGGCCCACTTTTGGGCATGGCTAGGGGCGTTATGGGGGAAGGCATAAAAGACAGCACACAGGAAGTCTCGGTCTCTTTTCCTGGAGTTCGGCTTCCGGTCCGGCAGCTAGCTGAGAACTGCTTGGCTCCTCTAGGTTTGGTATCTTGTGAGTAATTTTCTACATTAAATACTTAGCTTTACTGTCAGTAATTGTGTGTCGCGTATCGTTACAGCGTCCGTTGAAGCATACACTTTATGATCTGCTATTGATCGGTCAATAATGACAAATACCCATTGCCAATAACTGTTTAAAAAGTACAGAGAGAGGTAGAATTAGCATGACTAACTGGTCACATGACATTACGTCTGTGCTTTCACTGTCACTGCAAAGTGTTTAAAGCACTGTGTGTTTGACAAGGGAAAAGGATGGATTTTTCTTCTTTTTAAATTGGAAGTTAGTTGCTCCAGGGCTGTGGCAGTTGGGGGCGGGGAACAGAAGCTCCCATTAAGACTATTCCCGAACTGATGCAAACATTTAATAACCTTGACTATATCGGTTGGCTGGCTGATTTAGCAAAAGAGGCATAGAATGACAGGTAGTCTTAGAAATTTACTTTATAGTCCTAATTTGAATCAGACAAGGACATTTGTCTAGTTCTAGTTCCTGTTACTTCCCTTCCGATTCTTTCACACTGTATAGAAATGGGGCTGTGGTGAAGTAGGGGTATGAAGCTCCAGAAAAAATCTAAATAAAAAGTAATTTAAAAATATTATAAGCCTCTACAGTGAATTATAAATAATAAAATGTTATTGCCTAAATTTCAACCTTTAGAATCTATAGTTAGGGCTAGAACTCAGTTACAGAGCACTAGCCTACCTTGCACAAGGCCCTTGATTTGATCCCCTGCACCCCGTTAAAATGGGCATGGTGGGTCATGCCTATGATCCTAGCATGTGGGAGTACAGGCAGGAGGATAAGAAGTTCAAGGTCACCCTCAGCTACACAGTGAACTTGAGGCTGGCTTTGGATTCATAAGACCATTTCAAAAACAGTCCCAACCCCCATACGAAAAAGAGAAAGAAGGAATCATATCTACTCCCTCCATGCTAAGTAAATACATTTAAAAGTTTTTTTTTTGTTTTTTGTGCCCAGAGGCTGAGGTGATGGTTCAGTGGGTAAATCACTTGCCACACCAGTGTGAGGACCTGAGTTTGGAACACCAGAACCCACATAAATCCAGATGTGGTAGCATACATGTGTAATCCCATCACTCCCACAGCAAAAACAGGAGGTGAAGATAATAGGACCCCCAAAGCTCACTGGTCAGCTAACCTGCCTTAGTCAGGGAGAAGAACAAGAGACATGGTCTCCAACAGGTGGGAGATAAGGATCAACACTGACGGTTGTCGTCTGACCGACACACATGTCCTCTGGCATGCATGTCTCTCCTCTCCCTCTCCTCCCCACTCCCTCTGCACACACACACACACACAGGCGGGTGTGAACCACTGTGTGGGTTCTGGGAATTGAACTCCGGTCTTCTCCAAGAGCCATCTCTCCAGGCCCCAGCTTACAAGGTGACATGCATCCTATTTCTTTCCCATTTCCTTCTTCCTCTCTAGTGTGTTGAAGTGATGTCTGGAGCTGGAGCTGCTTTTTGGTACTAGAAAGATACTATGCACATAAAAGCTAATCCGTTAAGAGCAGCAGAGAGGAAAGAGAAAGCCTGGGGGCTTCCCGGAGGTTTCTGACAGCTGAACTAACAATAAAAGGACTTATTAAGTGACACAAATAGCTCCTGTGCAAAGCATGGTGGTCAGGTTTCTGTCATTTGAGAATAAAGCAATCACAACTACTGAAGTTACAAGCATAATGAAAAGAGGAAGTTAAAACGGGCACTTTATCCTGGGCTACTGGCTGGTTGGTGGTGTTACCCACACAAACCCTGGCACACCCCAGAAGCAGGGCCCTCCACAAAGGTATTGCCTCCATCAGATTGGCAGCAGGACCAGAGACTGGCCCTTCCTCCCGGCAACCTCACCTCCGCTTCCTGCTCCAGGGCTCAAAGGGAGCTGGTGTTGAACCCATTGAACACTTTCCAGCAGCATCGGGCTTTCTGTCTGGAAGGCACAGACTCAGTGCAGGTGTTGTGGCTGAGACTCACCGGGCTTACAGCCCTGCTTTTCACACTGGCTGCAGAATGAGGGGCCAGAAGCAAGCACTGGTGAGCAGCTGCCAGTAGGCAAGCTCATCTGTTCATTTGCCAGCATCTGCGGAAAGCAGTTTCCCTTTCCCACAGTTCAAAGCAACAGTCTCAGAACTGAAGCCGTGGCCTGGCCTGAGTCAAGTGCTCATCCCTGCCCTGGTGGCTGCGGCCAGAGGGCTGCAATAGGTCAGGCTTCTCATACGCCTGCCAGAGGTACAGGGACTGACTGTGGGGCCCGAAGAAGGTATGAGCTGGGTCTGGGGGCATATCCCTGTAATCTCACCTAGGGGAGACTAAGAGAGGAAGCTTACAAGTTCAAATGCCACATGAATAATTTAGTGATACCCTGTCTCAAAATACAAAGAGTCTGGGACAGAAATAGAGGGCTCACCAGGGTGTGAGGGGACACAGCCTCTCAGATATCTGCAGTGCTGCTTGGCCTTTTGTCAATGTTAACCATTTCTCATCATCAATTGAGAAAAAGCCTCCATCGGACTGACTTATATGATTGATGCTGGCGGGTCCAGCCCACTGTGGGTGGTACCACTCCTGGGCAGGCAGTCCCGGGGTGTGTAAGAAAGCAACCTGAGAAAGCCTGGGAAGCAAGCCAGTGAACCGAGTTCCTTCTTGTCTCTGCTTCAGTTCCTGCCTCCAAGTTCCTGCCTCGGCTTCCCCAGATGATGGAGTGCTGTAAGCTGTAAGCTAAGCTCATCTTTTGGTCAGTGTTTAATCAACAAACAACAGAAAACGAAGGCAGCTGCTGAGGAAGAAGGGATGCCCATCTGTCATACTGAATCCTCACTTCACCTAGAGAAAAAGCCAGGCTCAGGGGGATGTGCAAGTGTTCTCAAGAGCACATCCAGGGCGGCTGGATGTTTCCGCAGTTAAAGGCATTCACTGGCTGCTCTTCCAGAGGACCCAGGCTTCATCTCCAACACCCACATGGCAGCTCAAGACCTTCTGCAGCTGCAGTCTCAGGACGCTGACATCTTGTGTCTCCGTGGGTACCAGGCACACCTTGGTACAAGGCATACTTGCAAACAAAACACTGCTACAAAACTTAAAAACAACAAATAAACAGCCAGTTCAGCTCAGACACCTTTTTTTTTTTTTCCGAGACAGGGTTTCTCTGGCTTTGAAGGCTGTCCTGGAACTAGCTCTTGTAGACCAGGCTGGCCTCGAACTCACAGAGATCCGCCTGCCTCTGCCTCCCAAGTGCTGGGATTAAAGGCGTGCGCCACCAACGCCCGGCTCAGATACCTTCTATACAGCACACACCTCACCTTGCTTTCCACAGTGGGTTGGGCCCTCCCACATCCGTCATTAATGATGAACGTGTCCCACAGACATGTCTACAGGGCAATCTGGAGGAACCAATCCCTCACCCGAGGTCCCTCTTCCCTGATAAGACTAGTTTGTATTAAGTTGACAAATTTACCAGCACAGCACCCCTCCCCCCACAAGCCACACTTGGTTCATCCCCTATCCCACATGACCGGGAAGACTTTGGTGGCTCCTTTGGATCAGCATTGCTGTCTCAGGAGGAGCATTTCTGTTTTGGCCAGACATCCCCCAGCCATTTGGTCTGGGTTTTTCCGGGTGACTTTCTCACTGCCCCACTCTCTGAACACTGCAGCGTCCGTCCCCAGCTCCACAGGGCAGGTGATGGGGAATCTTCCCGCCTGGTTTCTTATTCCTTTCAGGGATAGAAATGGGAATGTTCCACTTCCTTCCACCCGCTCCAGTTAGGCCTCCCACTCCTCCGAGACTGCAGAAAACTGCACCCTCCACCCCAACTGGTCCTGTGACCCTCCTGCCTTACTGCTGGCTTCTCATACTTCCCTGTCACATTGCCTAAAGGGTGGTCCCATATTCAGCAGAGGTGGCTGCTCCAGCAACGCCTGGTGATGCTGACCGGTGAAGGATCAGGCCTCAAGCCCACCTTCTCTAGCACAGGTATGCTCTAAGTCTGCAACTCTGGGAACACTACATGGTGCGAGCAGAAGATTAAACAGCACTTTGCTTTATGGAGTTATCAAACACATTATATAAGAGCCACCTCGGGCTAAGCATTTCAGGTGTGCATGAAACAAATCAATTCCATGTTTCCATTTGAACTTTCCCTGAAGATACCTCATCATGTATTTGCAGAATATTCTACATATAAAGCATTCCTGGTCCTAAGCATGTGAATAAGATGTCCTCAGCCCAAGGGTACTTCTTCCTTTTTGTTTTCCCTGGGATATTTGTGACCATCACATTAACTTAAGCAAATAGAACCAGCTAAAAGATGTTTATTGAGCACCTACTATGTGCCAAGGAATCCTGCTTTCAACTTTTCAGCTAGATTTGGAGACAAGAGATAAATAGAGAATGGGGCTTGTTCTCATGGCCCTACCCCACAGCCCAGCTCCACACCCCAGCCAAAGAGTTTTCCAGTAGGCCATAGCCCTCTCTTACACAATGACTTTCAATGGCTCCCCACTTACTTTGGCTCCAGTCCAACTTACTTGGCATGAGTGAGCAGCTCTTCCTGACCCTCCAGAGTGTGGTTTCTTCTGCGGAGTCTCCTCCCCAAATGTGGCCTGAGATGTTCTGACTCCTCATCTGTGTCCTAGATGTGGCATGACAACAGGAAAGGTCTGTGCTGGGTGGGTGGGCCTCAGAAGCACCCCAGGGAGCCCGCCAGCCAGATTCCTAGGGGATTATGCAGAGGCATAAGGGGGGGGGTTGGTGGGCGAACTGAGGTGGTAGGTGAAGGAGATGTTTTGTCCCAGTCTGCAGCTCAGGTCAGAGGCAGGTAGGAGAGGGCAGGTTGCCCAGGTGGGGATCCAACACCCAGAAACCAGGGAGTTTTCCCGCCGCCTCTTGATGCATGCACAACCAGGGAGTCTCCGCCTCCCCCACCCCCATTCACTCTTGCCCCTCCCACAGTAGCTGCAGACTAAGGCAGCTACCCACCTTTCCCTCCAGGAGCCTGGTGGCCGGGGCCATAGGGCGCTGAGTGGGGGATGAAGCCTGTGGAGACCTGCAGGGAAGTGAGGATGGAGTGTTTTCAGGAATAGCTGAGGTCAGGGCAGTCAGTGGGAGTGATGGAGACCAAGCCTCCACTAACTCGGACTTAGACTCTTACAAGCCCCTAGAGTAGTCCTTGGCTGGGAAATAGAAGTTTCTGGGTCTCTAAAGCTGTGGCACTTTAGACTTCTTGTGTGAATGCCGAAGGCTGGAGCCAAAAGAACTCACACGAGCGCAGGGTAAAGGCATTGTTCAGGACACACCTCAGGAAGCAGCAGCTAACCTGAACCTGAGCCAAATCCTCTGAGGACTGCAGGGTTGTTCTTCAACTATCAACGGGCTGTTTAGCCTCTCTGAGCCACAGTGTACCCATCTGTAAGACAGGAATAAGAACATCCAGCTCAGATGGTTATTGTACCAATTAAATGAGCTTATTCTTCTATTTAGCAATGACTACTCTCCTAGTCTTGGAAATAAGGCCTCAAATTTCAGTTGGGGACCTAGCCACCCACAATGGTTACCCTTTATCCATTTCTAGTGTGTCGGTGGTGCTTAACGTTTAGGGATTTGAATGACTGATGTCTCTGTTGAAAGCATCAGTGCCTGTACAAAGTGTCCCAGGGGAGACCTCTACCTCGCCTCACATTAACGCCACCATTTTCTGAATTGGTGACCCAAGAGAGCTGCAAGGTTTGAGTATACATGCACAACCGTATCAGTTCCTTTCAGCTCTTGCTCTGCTTCACAAATATCCCCAGACCCTACCCTCAGGCTCAAGGCAAATTTGAAACCTGGTCTCCCATCTCCATGCCTGGCCGTTGTAATGATTCACCCTTATTGTCAATGTGACTGGAGAGAGGTCTGTGAGATCAGTGACACATCTGTGTGTCTTTGGAGGTATTCCTAGGGACGATTGACATGTAAGACAGTAACCGGACAGGGTTAGACACAGGCTGAATGTGGGCAGTGCCATCCAACAGCACGGGGATTGCAACGGAATGACGAGAAAGGCAGCCAACACATGCAAACTCCACCGTTCTGCAGAAAGCTCACCTACAGTGCTGCGGTTGCCCATGGATGCCATCTCGAGCCTCCAGTCTCTCAGCACAGTCCTGTGGCAGTGACTCTTAGAGGCTTCCAGCCTTCATCTTCTGGGTGGGGCTGCATCAGTGACTGCTCTTGTTCTGATGCCTCCTGAACAGAACAGCTACCAGATCCTCTAGCTTTCCAGACAGCCAGGAGACAGACAAACATCTCACGCTTGTGCGCACTACTCTAATAAATCCCCATTTGTAACCTGAGGGTCTGAAGGGAAGGAAAAGGGGTGGAGCTGGGCATGGTGGCTCATGTCCATATCCCAGCATGTGGGAGGATGAGGCAGAAGAGTAGTGAGTTCCAGGCCAGCCCAGGCTGCACACTGAGTTTCAGGTTACAAAGTGGTTCTCTGTCCCTCTGGCAGGAGGGGCAATGGCACTAAGAAACAATGAATTACAGAGGTGAGACCGTTGGGTGAGAGTGACAGGAGAGGTGGCTCAGTGGTTAAAAGCTCTTGTTGCTCTTGCAGAAGATTCAGGTTTAGTTTCCAGAATCCACATGGGAGCTCACAACCATCTCCATTTCCACGGGATCTGATGCCGTCTTCTGGCCTCCCCAGGAACTGTGCACATACATGCAGGTAGGCAAACGCTCGTACACATACAAATATAAGAAATATAAGGAGGGAGACACACAGACAGAATAGCTATGGGGGGGGGGGAGAGAGAGAGAGGTAGTTGTGGCCAGAGAGGGGACAACCTGTCAACCCGTTTTAAGAATAGACAAGGCCAGGCCAAACAGGCTACAGTGAATTCAGCCCTGTTGCTGAATGGGAGATGAGGCAGATGTGTGTGTAGGGCGGTGCTGTACAGTTATAGGCAACCTTGCTTCCTGCCCTGTCTCTGCTTTCTGATCCACAGAAATGGGAGCAAACCGCCTTGGGTCCCTCCCAAAACAGCAAGAGCTAGTTGCCCTGCCATGTCTTCTTTGTGGTGATGGACTTTATCCCTGAATCATAGGTCAGAATGCCCAATCCCCTTAAGTTGCTGTGTTGGGTGTTTGATGACACAGTGGGACCTGAGTCAAGGTTGGAGGATTCAGTGTCCTGGCCCATAAAACTGACTCCACTTCATCCTGACTTAAAGTCAGAGAGTTCAAACCTTTCAAGGTTAGACAACATTCTGTGGTCTAAGGAGTAACTAATGGATGTCTTAGCTTAACAAGATATTTGGTTTAGGGTGTGGTTACTGATGTTTTGGGTATTGAGAAGGTAATTACCTTTGCTTGTTTGCCACCCCCCCTTTTGATTGGGGTATAAAAGAGCTTTGAGTAATAAACTTGGGGCTGATCCTGGTATCCATCAGGTGCCCTTCTGACCTTATCTCCCGTCTCTTGTATTTCTGTCCTCAATCCACACTCCCCCCTCAGGTCGGCTGGATCAGACAGATTCCGACCGCCCCTGCCCCACCAATGTGGGTCACTACATTCAGGCCTAAGGGGATCCCAGCTTTCTGATCCTGCTCCTCTGAGTCCTCTGAGACTATTCCCTAAGGAGGTGCCCAGGATGTCCTGCATCTACCCGGTTGCCATGGCTTGTCCCTAATGAGGGGCCCAGGATGTCCTGCATCTACCCGGTTGCCATGGCTTGTCCCTAATGAGGGGCCCAGGATGTCCTGCATCTACCCAGTTGCCAGCTGTGACTGTTTGTTTCTAAGCTCTGTGGCTGTTTCCTGTTTCCCTTTCCTCCCTCCCTCCCCGTGGGCCTCCTTCCCCTCCCCATGGGCCTCCTTCCTCCCTTTTATTTTATTTTTAATTACATGTTATGTGTGGGGTATATGCAGGTGTTTCCCCAGGAGCTGGACTTACATGTGGAACTGTTATGAGAACTTGGGGAGCGTTTAGGTAGCAGAACCTGACATGGGTTCTGGGAACTGAACGCAGGTCCTCTGTGAGAACACACTCTCCTCACCACTGAGCCATTTCTCCAGCCAAAAGAATAAGAGGTTTTTTTGTTGTTGAGATTTTTTTAAAACTATAAAGATAAAAACCTCTAGGGGCTGAGAGATGGCTCAGTGGTTAAGAGCACTTGCTGCACTTGCAGAGAACCCAAGTTCAATTCCCAGCAACCACATGGCAGCTCCCAACCACTTGTAACTCCAGTTCTAGGTGATCCAAAGCTCTCTTCTGACCTCCTTGGGCACCAAGCATGGTGTATATGTGTATATATATGCAGGCAAAACACTCATACACATAAAATAAAATTTTAAAAATATTAAAAGGAAAATCATTCTAAGAAAAGTAAAATAAAGATCTCTAAACTGCTGCTATTCCTGAAATAACACCCTTTCTGTGATCACTTGTTTTATCAAAACATACATTTTTAAAGTGAATACTTTGTGTTTGAGGATACACTTGGATTTGCAGAAGGTTTGCTGCACCAGCACTGGCTCCCATGGGCCCTCTCACAGTCTCTTTCCTGTCCTCAGTGACTCACAGCGATAATGAACCAATACGGTACTGGTTTCCCAAAGGTCCTCCTGTTCTAAATGCTGAAATAATACATTTAGACAGCATGTGTCCCGCAGCTCCTCAGGGCTGCTGGCTGAATGATATCCCCTAGTGTGTGTGTGTGTGTGTGTGTGTGTGTGTGTGTGTGTGTGTTAAGTTGTTGTTGTTTGAAACGGGGTCTTGTTTGTAGCCCAGCACGGACTTGAACTCTGTATTGTCCTGATTCAGTCACTGAGTCATCATGACCTTTCACCCTGCTGTTCAGTTTTTTGCCAACTTCAGCACAAGCTAGAGTCACCTGGGAAGAGGGAACCTCAACTGAGAACACGCCTCTATCAGATAGGCAAGTCCGTGGGGACATTTCCTTGATTAGTAATTGATGTGGGAAGGTCCATCCCACTGTGGGAGGTGCCACCCTGGGCGGGGGTCCTGGGATGTGTGAGGAAACAAGCTGAGAGTGCAAGGGACAGTCAGCAGTAAGCGTGAGGCTTCTGCCTTAGTCCCGGCGCCGACTTTGAGAGGTTCTGTAATCTCTAGGTTGATGTTAGTGCCTTTTGACCCAAGTTGCCTTAGATTATGGTGTTAACCCAGCACTAGACAGCAAGTAATAGAGCCGTGCCTGTTTTGATGATCTTCCTCACCCTTGGTATCATTGGCCAGGGCAGGGTTTCTCATTATTTTGCTGGGGTGGGACAAGACCTGTCCAGGAGAGGAGGAACCTACTAGGAGGAGACAACCCAGATTTGAACTCCCCCTGGAGAGAGGGCTTACCTGTCCTTCCCCCATCTCTAGACATGGCAGTGACCTAAGACTGCAGAGCTGCCAGGTTGGGGTCCCCGAGGGTAGCCCCCACCCTCAGACTTCTTTCCTAAAAGGTTTAAGTTCATGGCTGATTATTGATAACAATATACATTGGCCTCGGAGATTACAAAGGACCATTATTCGTGTCACAGTGCTTCACAGCACAGTGCTGGGCAGTGTCAGGGCCATCAGCAGCACCCCTGGTTGGCACCATTTCACAGACTAGGAAGTAACGAAACAGGCTTACCACAGTCCTGTCCCAATGTGATCCCAAGCTCCCACTGTTACTATGTCTGTCTTGCATTAGCTTCAAGTCTCCTTTGTACAAATGAAGAAACCAAAGCTTGAGAGGGTTTGCTCTACGAGGGGTTATGATGGTCAGCTTTAATTGTCAACTTGACACATTCCAGAATGATCTGGGCTGAGAACCTCATCAAGGAACTGTCTATATTGGGTTGGTCTGTGGCTATGCCACAGGAGCTGGCCTTAATTAAATTAATTGCTGTGCAAATATCCAGCCCACTGTGAGCATCCTGACTATATCAGAATGCAGAGATCAAGAAGAACATAGGTGAGCAAGCAAGCCAGCTAGCCGAGCAGGAAGCATACATGCATTCATTTCTCACTGCTCTTAACTGCTTCACGTTCCTGACAGTGATTCTCCACTAAGGTGGACTATAGCCAGGAATTGGAAGTTGAAATAAACCCTTTCTCCCCTAAGTTGTTTTTTGTCAGGATATTTTTTATCATAACAGCAGATATGAAACGGAGATAGAGGTTCGGCCTGGGACAATGATGGGTCCACTGGTAACCAGCTGAACCAGATGGCACCCACAGACAGGTCTGTGTAGACAGAGCCTTTCCCCAGCTTTGGGTCCCTGTCCTCCCAGAGAGACCTCAGCAGGAGTGTGGTGACAACATAGCCCCTCACAGGACCCTGGGCAGCCTACAGCCTGATCCTGCATGAAGCAGGAGCCCGGGCACAGCAGAGGAGTGTGAGCCACCAGCTTCACTTTTGTGAGGAGACCCCACTTCCCACTGCCAAGCACCTTCTTTCTGTTTGGGGCTGTCCTGCCTCTTGACAACGGTATTCACTGAGTCCCACCTCTTCCTCCTGACTTTGTTCAGTGTCCTGGACCACAGGACGGGAGGAGCTTCTCTTGTGATGGTCTGGATGAGTGCTTTCCTCCCACAAGCAGCCTCAGGGTCAGTTCACTCACTGCCCAGCTGTTGATGTTCAATCTGACATTCTCCATAGACCCGTGTTCTGAACACGTGTTTCCCAGTAGCAGATGCTACGATGTCTCTAAGGAACTTTGAGAGGCAGAAGTAGGGTATCTTCGTCAATGTTCTCTTGCTATGAAGAGGCACCATGACCACAGCAACTCTTGTAAAGGAAAACATTTAATGGGGCTGGCTTACAGTTCATCACCATCATGGCCGGAAGCTTGGTGGCGTGCAGGCAGACATGGTGTTGCAGAGTAGCTGAGAGTTCTACATCCAGATCTGCAGGTAGGAAGCAGAAAGAGACATTTCCTCCAACAAGACACACCCCCTAATCCAGCGGTTCTCAACCTAATCCAGTGGGTTGTGACACCTTTGGGCATTTTACAGGGTTTGCTATCAGATACCTTCAAATCATATATTTACATTATAATTCATAATAGTTGCAAAATTACAGTTATGAAGTAGCAATAAAAATAATTTTATGGTTGAGGGTCACCACAGCATGAGGAGCTGCATTAAAGGATCACAATATTAGGTAGATTGAGAACCACAGAACACAATTTAAAATCCCTGCCAAGTAGCGCCACTCCCTACTGACCAAGCATTGAAATCTATGGCCCTATGGGAGTCATTCTTACTCAAACAACCACGTAAGTCAAGAATGAGCCTTTGAAGCCTCCACTCAGCCCCTAAAGCCTATCGTGGCAGCACACCTAGAATCCCAGTGCTTAGGAGGCTGAGGCACAAACGGGTTCAAGTGTCTTAAAACAAACAGGCCCAAGAGAGGGCTCAGCAGGTGAAGGCATTTGCACTAAGCCTGATGACCTTGACTTTGATCCCAGGGACTTGGATGGTGAGAGATGAGAACTGACTTCTGCAAGTCCTCCAAGTATACACACACACACACACACACACACACACACACACACACACACCA